GGTGTCCATCTAACTCTCTCTGCTCCAGTACTGTGCAGGAGATGAAGGACGTTGAACACCAAAGCCCATATCTCATACATCGCTCGTCCTTTCTCAGAAACTGCATCAGCAAATTTCTTCACAGTTTCTTCAAGATCTGTACCGTACAAACAGACACAACATACGAATGAAAGTTTCACCTCTTCACTATTGTTGGCACACACACACACACACGTGACACACACACACACACACACACACACACACACACGTCATGACGTCATAGAGACATCCCTTATTTGGACAGTGGCAAGTAATGACATTTGTCGCCACAGAGTACAGCGTGGTACAGGTATCCTAGCAACCATCATTCACAAACAAACGTCACAATAACCGTACATACAGCTATATATGGTTGTCAGTGACTGTAGCTGAAAGAGGTGAAGACGATCAATGAACGACATCACGGGGTGTCTTCACAACACACTGCAACACATGCAATCTACGTTCTTCAACAAAATTACAGAAACGACCGACAAATTTTACACCTCATTGCTACCACTGCCTACGACAACTATCGACGAAAGAAAACTACTCCACACCTCAACAAACAACCAATTTAGTAAGAGTAACCACGAAGAAGAAAACGACTGTTCGAAGAAGAAGCTCCAAACCCAATGAACGGAACAATTTCACTTTCACTCTTTGCAAGCAACGGAAAATATCGACGGCCAACTTATGATATTCTAGCAATGCCAATGTCCCTCACAACCAGGAAAATTGTCCAGTGTCCTGTTCATCAACTCTAACTTCCTTACAAAGAACAAACATGTACTTGATTTACAAGAGGTCAATCAGTAGGTCACTGAATGGCCGTCACGTTGTGACACGAGACTAGGACAGAGACGAAGGTTCACGACAAACGACATTCAAAAACAAAGGAGATGAACGACGGCAAAACGTAGCCATTGGGAAGAAATCTGTTTTCACTCACAGTCTAGGATGGTCCCCTTCCGTCTCGCTTCCATTGATCACAAGAATCATTACGAACCACTCCCACTCGACTAACTGAATTGCTGGAAATATTTCAATTGAAACTTTACACGACGAGGAAGGGCACTGCTGAAGTAAAACATCAACATGCAAATACTCTAGTCCAGTACCTATGGCTGAGTTTCAAAACGTCCTTCCTGATGTTCCTTGGACATGAACAAGACTACTAATGAACTGCAAGGAGAGGACGAAAGTCTTGACGAGCAACCAGAAAGTATTCAGCTGCGCGACGGAAAAATGTGAGGGATCAACTAACTGAACCTTTGAACTCTGACCTTTAGTTTGCTAGCTATAGCGCTCTTTTGATGTATGGTAGATCTACATTACAGACAGCAGTAGACTGCTTGATACAAAATGTATTACTGTGGATGACTAATCGGCACTGACTATTTCTATTGTAGTGCAGTGTTCGCTAGCGCTAGCTACACAGCCTAGCCTACGTGCGTACATGTACTTATGGTAATTGTTACGTCATAGATAAACGTTACTTTAATACAACATTCAACAAGGACTCTAACGAAGTCTCAGACATCAGAGTCATTGCTGCGTAGCATCTGTGTCTGCGTATAGCACTGGTGAGTAGATCTACTGGGGACTAGACCAGAGACACCACACAACACTCTACAGACCAGAAACAAAGTGCAATTTTGGAATCAACTAAGTGATCAGTACAGTGTGGCCTATGCAATGCACGGCCGGTCGAGATCACGACATGATCTACTGACCCCAAACACGGTCATACTGTGATCAACATAGCCATGTGCAAGAGTACAGAAATCTCCGCGGTCCAAACCAATCAAATGCAAATGCGACTATGTCTACCTGGTTTAGCATACACTGTTCTGGTGGCCTAAACTGAATCCTGTGCCAGAGCGCTTCTATGGCCAAAAGAGTGGTAGAATCTGACACTCCGTGACTGCGTGTTATTGGATACTACTTGGAATAGTAGATATCTTTGTCGCTGCATTCTCTTGAATTCTCAATTATGAAAGCGACATAGATCTACCGTACACATCTAAAATGCCTACTAGTGTGTGTTCAGACAATATCCAGTAGACTGTGGGAGAGAGAAAGAGCCATTCAGATAAGAAGTGATCTTTTCAACGGAGACGAGGTCAAAACACCACACACACAGTGACACACACACACAGAAACGCAGGCACTCACTCACACGCGCGCGTAGATCTACGTACCTCGTTGCGATTTTGCTGCAGGCTGAGTTTGAGAGGCAGCGGCGGCGGCAGGTTTGGTTGGTTTCCGGCCGGTAGCAGAGGGAAGTAGTCTGGTCATTTCGCGTCCGTCAGAGGACACAAGAACATCTTCTGAATGGTACTTCATATGAAATTTAGGTGAAGGCATCTTGGCAGTCAAAGGTTTTGTGTTCTTACGAAAAGCAAAGAATCAGTAGTCAGTATGAATTGTACTGCAGAAAATCTAAAACTTATACTAAAACAAAACAGGAGATAAAGGATGATCATGACAGTCTAGTAACATAGAAACAGTACGGGTTGGGTTTTCTTGCCAGTCTCGCTGTGTGCAGGGGAATATCACACGCACGTTCCCAGCAACACTCAGTCTGACACATGAACACTCAGGATCAAGGCAAAGTGCTACTTTCATGGCACTTCGCCGCTCTTGTCTAGTAACTTGATACAGTATGCACACGTTGGAGGTTGTGGAATGCGGAAATTGAAATCTCTCGGATCATCAGTGACAGTCCAGCTGGCCAGGCAGCAGTCCACGGTACATGTACATAATTATAGAGAATCCTATCTTGGATATCCTAATATGGACTCACGTACAGTATGGTATTTACACTGAGCGACAAAGTGACTCTACTGTTTCCTTCACAAGAATGGGGGCCGTACATGCTGTGTGGAATAGCAACCAGAGTCCGCCATAGCGGCAATGGCCTACAGTGGTAGTAGTAGGGCTGGATGAAAAGTCAGTGTTACATGTAGTCCGTACAGACCGAGTATGAGTTTGAGTGACCGGAACAACGACTTGTTTGCCTTCCGCAGGACCGCAGGGCAGTCCACGTTTTGCTAAAAGGAGAAAATTCACAATCTCATACACAACTCGGTCTATGGATGGTCGTGAGGTGCATGACACTGTGCATAATCATTGCGGACATGTACATGTAAATCCCCCCCCCCTCTCCCCCCCCCCCTCCCCCCCTCCCCTACCCCCGTAGAAGCAAGCTTGGAAGGGGATTAACGAAAAAAGGTTTGCACCACCGGCTATACAATTTCATGGAGAACCTCAAACAGCTATTAGTTTCGCATGTGCCAGGCCACCACCATGCTGCAAGGGGATTACAAGTAGTACATCTTACCATTATGATAATTACCACATCAAATGCTGCGGAGACCTATCCAGAATCGGCAATATGCTGGCCCTGGCCTGGAGATCTGCAACTACAATCAGCTTCTACTTTGCAACATTAAGGTGGCAGACTACCCAAAAATTCGCTGAAAAATCGAATTTGTAAATTCATATTGAGTGCTACGTCAGTTGAAAGAGCATGAATAGCTGCAAATTCTCTGAAAATTGTGTCCCTATCTGACCAGCCGTTCAAGAGTTATGGCCGAAAATGTGTCCTTGCAAGGAAAGATTTTTTTGTTGCATGCTGTCATTTGTTGGCAGCACTGTATTTGAATGTGAGCAGACCGTGCGCAACTTGTCGTATTATGGAAACACGCGAAAGTGTGCAGAATTTTGCCCCAAGTCCAAAAAAGTCCAAAAAATCACGTTAAAAAACCACGTATTGGGCTGCACGGCGGCGGGCGAAGCCCGCCGCCGTGCAGCAGGACTTTTGCCAGCACCCTCGTGACGTTGCAGATATGTGGCTTGATTATTGTAGTTGACGTTGATTTAGTGACTTTGGCAAGTTTGAGTCGTGTCAAGAAGTCAGGTAGGATTCAGTACTAGGCAGTAGTGAAACGTGAGTGGCAGTCTTTGCCGGTTTCTGAGGGCATCCTGGATTTGGTGTGCAGCGCTGTGGAAATGGCTTGCTGTGCAGCTGTGGAGGTCCCAGCACTGGATGTTGTATCAAAGGTACGACCTCGTAGCACACCCTAAACCTAAAAAATTCAAAAATTGACTTGGGTCTGTGGGAGTCCGCGAGAGAACGCCCACTCGTTCCGTTGTGACAGATTCCAGGGCCACGTTGAGGGGCCCTACCCCACCACCCATGGCTGCTTCTGGACTTGTTTTAGGTTTGGGTCCCGCGCACGGACAGAATGGGCACGAAAATGTGAAAAAAATGTAAATGCATTTGTTTGGCTCCTGGGTGGCTCGCACACCGTGGCACTATGCCGGAAATTTGAGTTTTTCCGGCCTGGAAAGCCTGTCAGTGAGGCGCAAGAACTTGTAAATCATGTCCTGAGGGCCAGCATAGTGGCAGGAGTGTGTGGTCAAAATTTCACTCAAATCCACTGAGAAACACCAAAGTTACGGTCAATTGAATGCCATATGAAATTTATGGGTAGGCTGCCCCCTTAACGGATTAGTCTCCTTTTGTCGATTGATGGATCAATCGGTAGATTCGGCTCTGTTTTTCTTTCCTTTCTTTCTTGTTTGAATTGTATGTTGAACTCATTGGATTTCTTTGTATTCTGTATCTCGTTATCGTTATTATTATTTTCCTCTAGCCCTCTCGCTTCGAAGGAGCTTTCTTTTTATGGCAGCTTAAAGGGGAACTGTCACCAAAAAATTTCTTTGTCTTATCTTGTAGTTCTTTGGCTCCTGATCACGATGGTGTTATCCGTTTTTCTCTGCGATGGCTGGAAGTGGGTGAAAACTTGAAAAGAAGGCGCCCAAAATTGTCCCGAAGTACCGAGTGACGTCACGCCGGACTTGACCTCCACGCGTACATTCGTCGTCAAAAACGAAATCCAGCCCGTGTGCTCGTCGATCGAGCTAGCTGTACACTGTTCCAATGTACCATGTGTACGGTGCACGTGTGCCTTTTGAACTGTAACACAGATGGGTACGTCGTACCGAAGGAGAATGCCAAAGAAGCAGAGACCCACGTGCAGCTACACAGCCAAATCAAAATAAAAAGCAGCTGAGCTTTCACCTTTTTGACTTCTTCCGCGAGGATCTAAGTTTTATTTTGTGAGCACGGAAGTACGTCGTTGTTTTGAACTTTTCGTGTGAGGAACAACACGATGATGAGTGCGTATGCAGAAAACAGTACTCCTCCGGCCGGCGATAACACCACCACCCCGAGCCCCAAAGGAACGCAATGTAGTTACGTGAAGGCGATTCATCTGGCGATGTTGCTCAAGATGCAGATGACGAACTCCGACGTCTTTCATTTCAGAGCCGGGTGGGCAACATCGCCACCTTCGATACAACGACATCATTTTCAAGTACGAGGTATGTGTGTCACACTAACAGCAAACAAACATCCTTCCACTCCTTCGTAATCACAAATAAAACAAAGAGCTGGAGCTTCGTGGAGGAAGTACCAGTGCGACAAACTGCAGTCGACTTTTGTTTATTTTGTCCCTTTTTGGCGTTCTCATTGTGTACAACGTACACATCGAGTGTCCGAGTTCAGAAGGCAAGCGTGCACCGTACATCGAACAGTTGGCTCGATCGACGAGCACACGGGCTGGACTTCGTTTTTGACGATGAAAGTACGCGTGGAGGTCAAGTCCGGCGTGACGTCACTCGGTACTTCGGGACAATTTTGGGCACCTTCTTTTCAAGTTTTCACCCACTTCCAGTCATCGCAGAGAAAAACGAATAACACCATCGTGATCAGGAGCCAAAGAGCTACAAGATAAGACAAAGAAAATTTTTGGTGACAGTTCCCCTTTAAGTGAAGGCTATATACCTGCTTTATGCAGGTTGATGCCAACGCGAACAAGCAAAATAATAATAAACATCTTTCCACGTCGAATGTCGTATGGTGTACCATGGACTGGTCAGACTGTACAGCTGGGAATGCATGGTTCAATTAAATAATTTCAGCTTTCCTGCTGACGGTGACTTACCTGCCACCATGTCCCAATAGTGCAATGCCCTGTGCAATACACAATAATTGATTGTAGCAATTTTGAAGATATAACGTGTACAAAGTTCAACCCGGATGGTGAGCCAAATTAACAAATAATTATTATGGTGAAAAAGGAGAAAGACAAAATGTTACGAGTTAGGACTAACTGTCCACCAACGTAACCAGATCTTATACAGTCAGCGAGTGCGACAAAATAGCACAAAACTGACAAGGAGTACTGAGACATTCGGCGACCTGACTGTATAAGATCTGGTTACGTTGGTGGACAGTTAGTCATAACTCGTAACATTTTAGTCTTTCTCTTTTTCATCATAATATAAAGTGTATCTGGTCTACATGTATACCGGGACTATTTTGTTCAGCTGTCCTACTCGAAACAAGGAACATGATTGGACCAACACCTGACATGATTTTTTTAATTTCCCTCCCAGTGCTATCTTCCTTTGTCGTGTCAAATCGAGCATCTATGTCTCATCCACTCCCCCCCCCCCCCCCCCTAACTCTTTCCCTCCTCTCCTCTTCGAAGTCGTCTCCTTGCGAGTAGACACGTTTGTTTGTTTGCTTCAACGCATGCATGTAGAAGTGCAACAACAACGAGTAGGCGTCTGCTGCACTTTCTTGTCCAAAGGTTGCCAGCTGACCGCTTGGAGCAGCGCAACCTCCATCATGATCACCTGGTCGGCTTGTGTGTGTGTGTGTGTGTGTGTGTGTTTGTGTGTGTGCGCGCGTGTGTGTGCGTGTGTGTGCGTGTGTGTGCGTGTGTGTAGGTGTGTGTGTGTGTGTGTGTGTGTGTGTGTAGGTGTGTGTAGGTGTGTGTGTGCGTGTGTGTAGGTGTGTATGTACGTGTGTGTAGGTGTGTGTGTGTGTGCGTATGTGTAGGTGTGCGTGTGTGTATATGTGTGTGTGTGTGTGTGTGTCGCATTAAAGCGCAGCGTTTATGCTCATTAACAGCTAGCATCATTGCAGCTCACCGCCGCGGGTACGTGCTGCCCCATGTCCTCGAATGCACATGGTGCCACACAACTGCCCCTGCTGCCCCATGCCCTTGCATGCGCATGGTGCCGCACAACTGTCTCCGCCGCCCTTTGTCCTCGCAAGCGCGTGTGGCCGCACACCTACCTCTGCCGCCCCATGTCCTTGCGGGCATATGGCGCCGCACAACTGTCTCTGCGCCCTGTGTCCTCGCACAGGCATGGTGCCGCACAACGGTCAGTGCTGCCACTCACATTTACCCCAGCGCACACAACGTGCCCAAGACGTCAGCAACCATACTGATGTCCGGTTACCATGACGCAAACATGGCGACCCATTTTTCTTGCTCCCTTGCTGACAATCTCTTCTCAAGGATTGTTCATGGTGGTGACTGGTTGTCAGTTTATTTGTTTCTCGTGGCCACCCTCCCTCTCCCATATTTATCCTCACATGCATACTTTTATAAA